AAATAAGCAGAGGAGCTAAGACGGCAGACACAGAAACAGAGGGCACAGAAGCTTGCACAGTGGTGCAGAGGGATCCTGGGGCTAAGCACTTCCAGAGTACAGACGCTGTGGGCTGGGCAGGGCTCCCCAGGGCCTACCATTAGTCATAGTTTGGGTCTACTATCTCTTCCTGGCTTTCTCATTGCTGTTTCAGCCCTGTGCTCCCTCCACTCAGCAAGCTGTAGCATCCAGAGTTTTCACTCTAACACAGTCTGACATTTTACCTTATGCCTTCCTCAGACTTCTGGAACCTCCCTTCAATCCCAAGAGAGTACAAACTCCCTGGCCAGGTGTGCAGTGTGGCCCCAAGCCATCCTGGTGGCTCATTGCTCACAGGCCCCCTCCTTGAGTTTCTTTTTTTTTAAAATTTATTATTTATACACTATACTGCCTGCACATGTCTGCAGGCCAGAAGGGGGCACCAGATCTCATTATAGATGGTTATGAGCCACCACGTGGTTGCTGGGAATTGAACTCAGGACCTTTAGGAAGAATTGCCCGTGTTCTTAACCTCTGATCCATCTCTCCAGGGCCCCCTCCTTGAGTTTCATTCATCAGATTCTATTCTTGCTTCTCATTGCCTCCTATGTCTGAGCTCACGATTTCCCTTCGTTCCCATCCTTCCCATGTCTCTACCAGACACCAGTCTTCAATCTTCTACACAGGCATCACCTCTTCATCTCTCTACCTTTCTTTCTCTTTCTTTTTTTCTCTCTCTCTCTTGAGCTTTTGCCAGTCTCTAAGTGCTGGACTAGGGGCTCTTATTTCTGCACTGACGAGCTTCCTGAATCTATATATTACTACCACATTCCTGAAGGTAACATATTGAAAGTATGAAACAGGTCTATAGCCACAGGACAGTCTCAGTACAGTGACTAGGTTTGTCACATATAGTCACTTGGATTATCCTTAGTTGTCTTTTAAACAGCTGAGATGTCACTCCGTGTATTAAGGACCAAATTGCAAGACTAGACTGTTTTGCTTCTATCTTGGGGCTTTTAGCACAGTGGATTTTACAAAGGATAGATGGATTTCCTTTTGTGAATGCTGCCACCTTGTGGTCACAGGCAGAAGTTCTCTGGGGTTACTACTGGTGTCTTTTGAATACTTTTTGGGGCAGGTGGGGTTGGGGAGAGGCATCATCTCTTGTGTCTCAGACTGGTTTGGTAATCACTATGTAGGCCAAGATGGCCTCAGATGGAAATCCTCTTGCTTCAGCTATCAAAATGTTAGGATTACAGATATGAACTTCCAAGTCTTGTTTTGAATTAGTCTTGAATTTGAACAAAGATCAGAGGAAGAAAAATTAATGATGCTTCAAGAGAGGTGGGGCATCAGTGTGGTGAGAGCCCAGAGTGCAAGATCCAAACCAAAGATGCTCAGAGTCGGGGGCAGCAGGTGAGCAAGAGTAATCCCTGGATAAACTTGGATCTCATCCTCTAATGTAGAAATGGAGGGCCAAGAGAGCAGGGAATGAGAGTCAGATGTAGGGGTGCCCAAGCCCTTGGTGGCTCAACCTTCATCCCTTCATTGAATGATTATTGAACATCTACTGTGTGCAAGTCATGCTCAAGATTCTTAGCTTACTTCAGTGAATAAAGGAGACTCTGCCTATTTGGAACCCAACATTCTCCAGGAGACAACAAACAAGTTTTATTTCATTTATACTTTAAGACATTTTGTGTATGGATATTCTGTTTGCATATTATGTGTGCTACATGCATGCCTGGTGCCTGAGGAAGCCAGAGGTGCGTGAGGGAAACTCTACAGCTGGAGTTATAGATGCCTGGAAGCCAACCAACCATAGCAGTTACTAGGGATCAAAGCTGAGTGCTCTTTCCCACTGAGCCTCCTCTCCAGGTTCCCCAAATACTATTTTAAATAAGCAAATTATATTTAGAAGGTAAAAAATGCATGACATGGGGCTGGAGAGATGGCTCAGCTGTTCTGCCAGAGGTCCTGAGTAAAATTCCCAGCAACCACATGGTGGTTCAACCATCATCTGTACTGAAATCTGATTCCCTCTTTTGCTGTGCATGAAAAGTGTTCATATACATAAAATAAGTAAATATTTTTAAAAAGGCATGACAAAGAGGGGCCTGGGCTGTGGTAAGTATGACACCTAAGTTCAATCCCCAGGTCCCACTCTTGCAAGTTGTCCTCCACTTATGAGCTGTGGCATATGCACGCCCACAAACCCAATAAACAAAACAGAAAGACACCTTTTGAACTCTAGAACTCCCATCTGCTGTTGTAAACTACTCAGTTTGTGGCACTGTGTCCCAACAGCCCATGAAACTAACACTTCCTTATTACTGTTTTCTGACCTCTCATATCCTGCCTGCACCTCCACACCATCTGCCTGCTTGACCTCATCTCTTCCCTCCTGTTACAGGAAGTCATCTTGTGCCTATTTTTTTTTTTAAATACTTTTTTTAAGTTTGTGTATGTACAACTTGAGGGAGTTGGTTTTCTTTTCTACCTGTGTTCTGGGGGTTGAACTCAAGTTAAGCTGACAATAGTTTATCCTCCGAGCTGAGCCATCTCACCGACCCCTGCTCCTACTTAATTTTTAATTTGTTTTTACTGTATTGCTGCATGTATGCCTGTGAACCACGTGTGCCTGGTGCCTGCCAAGGTCAGAGGAGGGTATCAGATGCCCTGGGACTGGAGTTACAGGCAGCCATGAGTTGCCATGTGAGTCCTAGGAATTGAACAAGTACTTTTTTCCTTTTCTTACTTATTTTGTCTGCTTGTACATCTGCACATCAGAAGAGTGCATCAGATCTCATGAGGCTATAGTTAAAGATGATTGTAAACTGCCATGTAGCTGCTAGGAATTGAACCTGAGTCCTCTGGAAAGGCAACTAGAGCTCTTAGCTGCTGAGCCATCTCTCTGGCCCCAGAACAAGTGCTTTTCACCGCTGGGCCAATGACCCTGTCCCCTACTCCAACTTTTTGAAAGGGATGTCCCCATATCTCCTTGCTTCTATAAAGCATTATGGAAGAAGCCACACCACAGTGGATTAAGAAGTGGGAAAGAATCATGTGCTCTCAGGCTCTCTCCTAAGACTGAGCATCCATTCTCACTTCCAAGGCTTCATCTCTTCTCTCCTAAGCATCCCTCCTGGAGATGCCAGAGCCAGGCAGAGGCTCTAGTGGGAAAAGGTTAGGGAAAGTACCCCAGATCCCGTCCTCCCAAGGGATTCTGACCACAGGTGTTTGCCTTCACATCCCTTTCCAATTATTTTGGAAATCTCAGATGATTTCCAATTAAGCCCAGTTGGTTTTGCAGAGCTCACAAGACATTGTACTGAATCACCCCTCCAGCATGAGTTACTGGGTTATATGATTCAAAAAAAATTTTTTTATTTACTTTTAAATTAATTCATTAATTTTTATATGCATTGGTGTTTTGCCTGCATGTCTGTCTGTGTGTGCATGAGATCAGATCCCCTGGAACTGGAGTTACAGACAGTTGTGGGTTGCCACGTGGGTGCTTGGGAATTTAACCACTGAGTCACTTCTCCCGCCTCTAGGTGTGATATCTTTAACCTGGCCAAAGCAAAGTGATCAAGATGAGATGCTAGATCAAAAATTATCAATAACCTATAAGGTAATGTGGCCCAAAGTTCTGAAGACTCAGTGACTCTGAGAACGCTGACAGCAAAATATACACAAGAAATTCAGAGACGGGCATGGAGACACACTTGTGATGGAGCAGCAGGTAGGAGAGGAAAATGGAGGTCAGGCAGCTACTGGCAGAACACGTCACAGCAGCCTAGCTGTCTTCAGAGCTGTTACATGTCTCATCTCTCTAAGGCCTGCCAGAGGGGCTGCTTTCTCAGTTCTCCCAGGGTCCTGAGTCCTCATCACCTATCCCTTCCTCTCTCTGAGGGATGGCCTTCCTTGGAAAGCAAAGGATGCAGTTACAGTTCAAGGCACACCCTGATGGCCTTATGGTCACTCATGCCACTCAGCCTATCTCAGGTCCTGGAGTTCCCCAACTCTTCTTGCCTGGTCTGAGAGAAAAAATTACTCAACACCTTCAACTTCCTGGGTCCTGCTACAGCAAAGAACTGAGAGGAGCCCCGACTTTATTTTCTCATAATTGGACATCCAGGTTACTAGACACACTGGAGAAAATCTTGATTCTCAGAAAGTGGAGTTGATCGATTCTTTGTTTTTCAAGACAGAGTTTCTCTGTGTAGCCATGGCTCTCCTGGAACTCGCTCTGTAGACCAGGCTGGCTTCAAACTCACAGAGATCAGCCTGCCTCTGCCTCCTGAGTGCTGGGATTAAAGGGGACCGCCACCACCGCCTGGCAAGTTGACTGATTCTTAAAACAACTGCTGCTTACAATCCCACTCTCCTGCCTGGGGCCACGTGACTACCAAACCAATCACTCTCTAAGATACCTGGGTAAATCTGAACCAAAGGCCAAAGTGAGGCAGAAAAAAACAGCAATGGGGAAAAAAGGCAAGAATGCAACTTTAAAGTAGGCAAGAATGTCTACTTTAAAGCCAAGAAACCAGCTTGTTTATAAACTGAAGTTACTTACATTTTATAGCGCCAGGTGCTCAGGTGGTATCTGAGTGTCAATGTACACATCTCTTTATTACAAATCTAATGATCTAAGGAGGTTATACGCACGCACTTTACGGAGGAGAGCACTAAGGCCCAGGGAAGGAACTTTATCCAAAACCACAAAACAGTAACTTGGGAGTAGAACCAGGATTAAAACCCTGACAGGCCACTATACTAAAAGATATGCCAGAGACGGGAGAAATGCCTGAGCTGGCACAGCCCCAAACCAGCTTAAAGCAGGTGGCAAAAAGCCATCCAGTAACTTTTTTTGATACTAGATGCATCCAGCCTACCCCTTTCTGCTTCTAGCCCATGAGCTCCAGGGGAAAAGGTGAGGACCCCACTCCTTCAGTCCCACTTACAGGCAGCCAAACAAAGGGGCACAGCCTTTATTTTCCTTCCCTAGACAGATGTCAGAAAAGGCAAGTCAAAAATAGTGTAGACAGAGACCGAGTAAGCCCTCCTCAAGCAGTCTCTAACATAGCATTGGCCCACACCTGTCAGTCTTCCACAGCAATCTCATCCCACATTCCAGCACAGAGGCAAGGCAGGCCTTCTGTGGGCTCAGGCCTTGCTGGCATGTTGAGCAGTCATAAGCACTTCTTAGAGAAGGCACAGATATTCAGTTCTCAGGTAGTCAGGCTCAGCAGGTCTTCAGGACCGGGTGTCCCGAGCCCTTCTTCGGGGTCTGGGACCACAGCTGGAACTAGGTATGGAGCCCAGGCCAGGGGGTGCGCCTGGAGGTTGGTAGCCACATTCACTGGGGTCCAAGGGGTCCCGACTGAGCAGTACCCACACTGCAGGCACATGGCGTCGAACTGTGAGGGGGTCTAGGCCTGTGTCTGGTGCGGTTGGAACCCAGCTGTCCTCAGTTTGCAGGAACCTAAGCTTGGTGAGCTGGTGCAGGCCCGGAACCCGCCGTTTGACAATCTCTGCGCAGCTGACAGCCTTTCCAGCAGCCCGGCCAGAACCTGAGAACACCACGTGCCTTGTGCTTCCCCCTTCCAACCGACCCAGCGCCAGGCCTAGCAGGTTTCGGATTTTGCTCCCATCTCGGACTCGCATTTCCAGAGTGTTAGGAGGTAGCTGTGGCATTGGTGAAGACGCTGGGAGCTCTACAGAGCCAGCCCTCCGGTAGTGTTCCATTCTGCTCGCGCGGCCTCGGTGAATTTTTCTTGCTAAGTACTGCGAGAAAGGGTCAAATGAATGGCTGGAATATGACCAGGTCCATCCTCCATCACCCCTCTAGGTATGATCCTGTTCCTCACCACGGACGGGGATTTCACACCTCCCACCCCCTCCAGCATCTCAATACTGGGGTAAGAATTATCCTTTTAGACCCCTTTCTAAATATTTTCACAACTCTCAAACACCAACAGAACCAATCCCCCACCCCAACCAGGCTCTCTGGGACAGGGCCGTGCTCACCATCTCACACTCCTCCACGCTAGGCCCCAGACCCCTCACCCGCAGCTCAGTAAGAACAAGCGGGCTCTCCTCACTAGGCTTCTAAGGACTCGGCCGAGGCTCCCTCACTTTCCTGCTTCCAGAGAATAGAACCAAGACTCCTGGTCCCAGACTTCCCGGGGCACAGCCACGAGCCCTCACAAAGTACTCCCTAAGGTAAGGTAGGACGCGGCCCGCCCACGGGCCCTCCGCCCGGAAGAGCAGACCTCATTCCTAGGTTAAGATTGCCAAGGCTGGCTGGGGAATCTGTGAGTGAGAACTCGCACTGAGAGCTGCTCGGACCACTCGTGGGCCGCTGTCCCAGGCAGCAGGCAACCCCCTTCCCCAGCTCTGAGTCTTCACGCCCCTGAGATTTGGCTCCTACCTCGGCACCCAGTCCGCGTTCGACCATCAGCGAGCAGCCAAGATGGCGCGCAGCCCGGGGGCGCGCGAGGCCGCGGGGCCGCGCACGCAGGGGGCGGGGCGTGAGGGAGACCCGGGCTGCGGCTCGGCTCAGCGGAACCAGTGCCGGCAACTCGCCGGCCTCAAGCTGCCCGTGCGGTGATGCCGGAGCACACCAGTCCCTGCAGAGGGCTCAGCCCGGGAGAGGAACGGCTGTCGGCGGAGTCCCGCGCCTGAAGAATGTGGATGGATGGCGCGTCACCTGTTGACACAGCGCAGCAGCTAAGGTGAAAGCCACTGGTGGATACACGCAGGTGAGCCCCTCAGTTACCGGGTCTGAGCTTTGCCCTCACCCTGCGGCCCTGGACAACCCAGGCGGTCTTCAGTAGGGACCAAGCCAAAGCTTGTGCATTAACTCCTTGGCCCGGAGGATTGGCGTACAGGCTGGGTGGATCCGGTATGCTGGGGACCCTGGGAAGGGGCTGTACTCTGTCATCACAGCGCTTCGACACGGGGTCATGCCCACAGAGCCTAGTCTAGTGTCCAGAGCAAAATAGGCTCTCCAATATTTGTCCAATGATATGTTAACTACCCAAACGTCAAGAATTGAGAAGAGATGGCAGAAAGTTGGTAGAAACTGCTAGGAAGTTTTGAAGAAGAGCAGGCAACTCTTCAGGTGGAGTAGTCTAGGATGATTGCCACTTTGAGGTCAGCTTGGGCATGCTGTATTTTGGATGCTAACAGCAGTACAAGCTGGGTGGTCTACAGGCAGTTGAAGGAGCCGAGGCACTGCCCCAGACCACAAGAGGGCAGCATACACTTCACGGAGGGCCGTGCTTGAACTGTTAACTTCCTGCATTCCCATCAAGGTCCCCTGCTCCCCCTTCCCTCCCCAGATCCTAAAATTTCCTTTATCCAAACCTCGTGGGCTCCTCCTCTGGCTACTAGGATAGACACAAGGCTGTGCTGCCTTGGCTCTGAGTGTCCCTGCTTGCTCCTCCATGACCATCCAGCAGCCCACCTGGTAGGATCCCCCCTTTCCTGGTTGTCCCCAAAACTTATGCAGGGATTAGATGACCCTACCGGTGTCCTCCTTACCTACCATAAGATCTGATATTTAGAGGGTAGCTGGCAAACGTGGGATAAATAAATCTACCATGCCCCACTGTCAATCAGATGGTATGAGAGCTCTCTCTCAGCAAGCCAGACCACAGGGCTGACAGCCCTCCCCTTCACCACTCTGATCCCCACAGCCATGCCATGCTGGATCAGCAAGCCAACACACTCCTTTAGTGGTCTCTATAGTTTATTGTCACTGGAATAAATACACTGATGGAGAGTGCAAATGACAACTCTAAGGTAAACTCCATCTCTGACCTCAGAGCCCCCAGCTGAACGCAGATAGGCAGTATTTAAATTCAGTAAATACACAGCTGTCTCTGCCTTCTAAAGACAGGTTGGCCCAGGGCCCTGGGGACTGCCTGCCTTTCCCTGGTGGTGGGCATGGTGTGCAACTGTCATTCTTCTGCTGGCTTCACTTGCTTGGCGGTCTCTAGTTGGCAGAGTAGCTCATCCCACTGCACAAACTGCTTGGAGAGAAGCATTGTCTGTTGACAAGTCAAGGTGACAACAGGAGTCTGAATGAAGTGGAGATTTAGCCCAAAGGGTTGGAAGGGAGAAGAGGATGGGGTGAGAGCACATTAGGGGTAGGAGAAACAGGCTTTAGGAGAATACCCATTAAGGACCATGAAGCTCAAAAGATACAGTCTTGTTATACTCTTCCAGGAGAGCCTTGGACTCCTCAGTGATCTCCACACACTGGTCCTGAAAGCCAAAGTATATCTCAGGAGTTGAATAAAGCCCTATCCTGCCTCATTCTAAAACAAAAACAAACAAAAAAAAAAAAAACTTCCATCCAAACCTAGAAAATAAACTAGAGTAAAAGGAGCCAACTGCAAAAGAGGCCCTTTCAATCCTAGGCCAGCAGCGCAAAGACCAAGGAGAGGTGCGGTTCCTGCTCATTAACACTCTCTCCTCTTCTGTCACTATGTTCTCTAAGGACTTACTTGTTTTTATTTTATGTGTATGTGTATTTTGCCTGTATGCAGGCTCACCATGTGTATGCAGTACCCAAAGATGCCAGAGGAGAGCGTCAGATCCCTCTGAAGCTACAGAGGTTGGTTGTTAGTGGCCATGTGGGTGTTGGGGACTGAACCCAGACCTTCAGCAAGAGGAGCAGGTCACTTTAAGGACCCAGCCATGTCTCCAGCTTCTCAGTCCATATTTCTAAACAGTCTTTACCTTGAGAAAGGATATTTCACCCATAGTCAAGAGCAAATTCCCAGGGATTATTAGGTACCTCTCAACTCCAACGTTGTAGTATCTCAGAAAAGCTTTGTTCTGGAGGGCAAGAAACCTGGATGTGACCTAGGCAAGTCCTTTCCCCTCTCTGGAAATAGAGGATAAACCTCCACATTTCACCCACCAACAACACAAGGGTCTAGGGCCTTTCTAGTGTCAGCGGATGTGATGTCTCGTCATCTTTACCTTGCCTTCCAGCCCTCTCTCCTTCCATACCTGCTGCTGGATATGGATCTGGGCCAAGCGCTGCAGGTGGGCAGCATGCTCAGGAACGGCTGGAAAACAACACACACCGCCTGATGCTTGCACCCTCCCCCGGGACTGCTCAATAGTCTATTAGGTCTTCGGCAAGATTAGAGTATTGAGTAGACAAGCAAAACAAACGGCAGGCTTCATCGACCACTGTAGCTGGAGGCGGTGCTGGGGCTCCCTGCCTACCCCAGCCTTACTCCAAGACCAATGGGATGGGGGGAGAATAGACGACAGAACCTCTAAATATTAAAAACTAAATCCTTAGTATTTCTTGCTATGAGCAGGAAATACTAAAGAAACTTTTACTTACTACAGGCTCTGCCCCTTTGCTCTCAATCCAGCAGGCCTAGCTTCCTGGCCTAAGAGACAGGGAGCTTAGGTGAAATTGAGTACCCAAGTCCTACACTAGCCCCTTAGGCTCCCATACTGAGAGCTTTGCCCACCGTGCTCTGCCTGCAAGCAGGTAGTTGATCAGGGCAAGGAGGAGGAGCTCAGAGAAATACCTCTAGAGACAGACAAGATGGATATCTGGATTCAATTAAAGCCACTGCCTGCTTGTCAAAGCCCAGATCCAGGGACTCTTTTAACACTGCAGCAGGAGAAATTCTCTCGCTTGTCACGAGCTCTGACAATAAAATGTGGGCTCTGCAGTATCCTGAAGGAGAGGCACTCGGGGGCAGGTAGAAAGCAGTAGGAATCTCTGGAGCTGGGACTGCTAGTTGGGACTGCTCCTGTTCTTAGACCCAAATTGCCTGAGGTCCTGGATCTATGTTCTTACTTGGGAATTTTAACCACAGTCAGGCAGTGGGTACCCACAGGAAAGGAAAACAACAGGGGGCAGAGCCAGCATTAGCACGGGAGGTCTTGGCCCCACCAGTCACTTCCCCAAGCATGAGAGTGGAGCGGCAAGCCCAGAGGGGTACCTTTGATAGAAGCACTGTCCAGCACGGGCACCAGGGTGTTCACTTGTTCCAAGAGTGCTACCTGGGAGAGGATAAACTGCTCCTCTGAAGCACAAAGACAAAATGAGAGCAGTGAAGCAGCCAAGGACATTGCTACACCTGTATACAGAGCTACGCACCAGCAGGCAGAACATGGACCTCAGAGCTCTGAGCAACAACTGTGCCCACTGGCCCCTGCCCTAGGTGTACACTCCCACCCTGCCCAGCCTTTCCTTCAGGCATCTGTCTGACCCATCCCAAGGCCTAAGGAGCATCTCAATCTCTACAAATCCCCACTTTCAAGTTTGAGCTCCAGATCCTGTCAATAACTCAGCAAGTGTTCCTGGCCCAAAAAATACTTCAGACTTGGCTTCCCTGAGCTGAGGGCCCCAGGAAAGGTCCAGTAGAGGAGACATGTGGCAGGCCGTATCTGACGAGTTCTGCTCACTGGCTCTCACAGGCACAGATAATTACAAATGACAGGGGAGCTGAGACAGAGTGGGAGAGGCCAGTGTGGACAGCAGTAGGCTCTAGGTTCTTCATGTGCAAGGGGTTCTGGTGCACTGAAATCCACAGAGTAGAAGGTTGTCATGTGTAAATGAATGGAGGAAGATACACCTGGCAGTCAGAAAGAATTCACTGACCTGGCTGGGGAGGCAGGTCTAGTAGACTGAAAGGCTAAAGTACTAGATTTTATCTTAGTAAGGAGAAGACACTGGGGTTCCTGAGCAGGCTAAGTGATATGATGGAAGATGTGAAAACATTTGGAAAGGAAGAAAAGATGATTCAGGAGACTATACAATTGTCTGTGTGCAAGTAGACTCTGACTTTCCGAGGCAGAGCATGGGAAGGGATGGGGAGGCTGGAAGAGCCCCTGAACTTGGAGTCTGAGCCACGGTCATGGGTCTAGGCCCCTTTGGGACCTCTGAGCACCCCTCCCAGCAGGAGCTGCCCCTCCTCCCTAGTCCTCAGTGTCAGACAGCCATCATTCTCCCAGGCAGGTTCTTAAAGGACAACCACCTACTTATTTTCAGGAGGACAGAGACTTTCTCGTTCACTACTGTACATCTTGACCCCAGAATAAAGCCTGGTTCATATGATCAGTAAATGTTTTCTGTTTTCCTTTACATTTTTTCCTTTTCTTTTCCTTTTGTGAGACAGGATCATGTTATGTTGACCCAGGCTAGCCTTGAACTTGTAATCCTGTTGCCTCAGCCTCCCAAGTACTTAGGACTTAGGACACATGCCCACAGTACTCAGCCTGGTATCTTCTGGATGAATAAATAAATTCAGGTACTCAGAAAACTCTACCAGCAGAATGACAGACTGACTAGAATCTCTTCCAAGGATGCTGAAGTCCCAGAAAGATGCTGAGCTTTCAGTGAGAGCCCCTATCTTCCATAATGGCAAACATAAGGGAAGGAGAAAAGGAACCTACTATATGTTCTCTAGATCTTTTAGGACATAAGTAGTGGAGCTGGAGAGATGGCTCAGCATCTAAGAGCATCCTGTTCCTCCAGACACCAGAGTTCAGTTTCCAGTACCCAGGCTCACAACGACTTTTAACTCCAGCTCCAGGGAGATACGGCAACTCTGATGTCTGTGGACATCTGCACTCATGTGCACATACCTGTATTCAAACACACATGTACACATGGTAATAATAATAATAAAATACTACACATGGTAATAAAAAATAATCTAGCTGGGTGCAATGGCGCATGCCTCTGGAGGCAGAGGCAGGCGGATCTCTGTGTGTTCGAGGCCAGCCTGGTCTACAAAGTGAGTCTAGGACAGCCAGGGCTACACAGAGAAAACCTGTCTCAAAAAAAAAAAAAAAAAAAAAAAAAAAGAAAGAAAAAAGAAAAAGAAAAACTTCAGTTCACTGACAAGAAGTTGCTCCTTTGGCCACATATATGTGAATTTACAAGGGTGATATTCTAAGAGTGACACCAAGGGAATAGGTACTGTTCAAAGAACACCCTGTGTTTTCATGGCAAAACGGGGAGAGCCACAGAGTCACTTGGCATACTGCTGGCGCTGTTATAGACAGTCAAGGGCAAACTTCTTGCCAAGAGAATTCCTGTGTGACCTGCATATGCAGCATTCTAAGAGCTGAGACAGCTTCCTGCAATGAGTGAAGGGAAATGATCAGAAGAGGGAAGTCAGAGAAGGGCACCTGTGTTTAACTGAAACATTGGGTTCAACACCCACAGAAGCTAGACATGGTCTTGAAAAACCAAAAAAAAAACAAAACAAAACAAACAAAAGGAAGCACTATAAAAACACAAAAGATGAAACTCATGCCAACATTCTCCGTTCTCTTGAATGACAATGTTCTTTGTGCCTGCTCCTTCTGACAAGATCCTCTGCCTCGTAAGTATCATGACAGATTCTAAAGGAAAATCCTACAGATGGGTCTTCGAGAATACTGAAGTAGGGTCCATATGCTTGGCACTGCAGCTGGCCCAGAGGTATACACTGTGCCCATGCTGACTATAAAACTCACAGGACCAGGTTGGGCCCCAGTCAGGAGCCAGGCCAGAATCCAGGCAGTTGACAGGCTCTGTGTATAACAGGCCAGAGAGGGAAGCTGCTACTGTGACCGCCTCCTCCACAACTGCCAGCTTGTGCACACGTAAGTCTGGCGTTACCTGCTAGGATGAACTGCAGCTTTGAGGCCTCGGGAATGGCGATGCGACCCATGTACTCGGGATCCAGGTATTTGATCAGGTCTTCAACTAGCAAAGGAGGACGGGAAAAAACAATAGTTAAAAATGTGACCTTACAAAGGTAGTTTGGAGATAGCAAAATGGTTAAGCAGGTAAAGGTAATTGCTGCCAAATATGATGATCTGAGTTTGATCCCTGGAACCTCCATGATGAAAGAAGAACTGATTCCCATAGGTTATCTCTAACCAAATACTCAAATACACACACAGAAAAATAAATGTTTTTTTTTAAATTAAATGCGTTTGGGGTGCTCATCTTCGGAGAAATTCTTGAATTATGCTCTGACCACACAGTGCTGGATCAGTAGCAGCCGCTGAGTCCTGTTCTCTACTCCCCAGATTATTCACATCATACAAGACTGTCATCTGCTGACTGGCCTCATGCTTTGGGCCCTCACATACAAGTGCCACCACTCATGGCCCCCTCCCTCAGTACTCCCACTGACCTATTCTCACCAAGGTAGACGGCACCTTTCAATTCAATACCACAGGACAAGTTTCTACTCACTGAGAAAGTTACTAGCTACAGTAATGTTAAATGTTTGGCTAAATCAACACTGGGATGCTAAGTGATCCTTTTCCTTCTCAACCTCGCCTAGAGAAATGTCATACCCTATCCCCATCTACCACCAAAGGAAGCTTTGAGGAAGAACTTTCAGCTCACAGTTCTGAACAATGGGCACAGGCGTGGGGTTTATCCACAAGAAAGCACTCCCAATATGCTGCGCCAGCAATAAAATGGCTTCTATCCTCAAGAGGTATTCCAGTGACATACTGCTCAAGGGCAGGGACAGGCTGCAGGGGCCACGGACACAGGAGGCAGTGCGACGAGGCCCCCAATAGGAATACTCACTCTTTTTGTAGAGAATCTTCACCCTCTCCCTCTTACTGGCAATGTTCCCTAAAGCCACCTGCACCTTGACCAGGCCATCAGCCACCTAAAAGGAAGCAGAGGTCAATTCCAAGGTATATCACTTGGCTTAAGACACAGAAGAACCTGGACATGGTGGCTTTAATCCCAGCACTGCAGAAGCAGAGACAGGCAGATCTCTGTGATTTTGAGGCCATCCTGGTTTACATGACAAGTTTTAGGGCAGCCAAGGCTACTTAATAAAGACACTGCCACACACACACACACACACACACACACACACACACACACACACCTGGAAAAACCCTCTTTTCTCTATAGAGTTTCAAGCCTTTGAATTCCAATAATTTAGGTTGGCCTCCTCTTGTATTATAGAAGGTACACTTCACCTTTAGGAACTCTTTAATGTGACAGGAAAGGGAATGAATCATGTTCTCCTTTGCAGGATGGCGGTGGGAGTGTTTGTCTGTTTGGGGAGATAGTGAACTAATTTAGGGCTTAATGGGCACCCTTACATACTATATATTTCCTTAAGCCCTGTGTTTGGACATGAAATATGCAAATATCCTCACCCAGATCTTCTTTAGCTCAGGGCTGGAGAACAGAGCGGCTAGTCTATCTCTAGCCCCATCCCCTCTACTAATAGTACAGGAGATGAAAGACTCCATGGTCTCAAGGACAACGCAATTCCCATGTAGAGGAGACAGTAGAAAATTGGCTTAGGGCACGGGCAGGGTACAGTTAAGAGTTAAGGGTCTGGGCTTGAGACACCTGTAGGATATCCTAATGGACAAGACCAATAGGTAAACATCAATTAGGTCCTCAGAATAGAAAAATCTGGAACAGAGATGCATGCTGGAGGCATAAGGACATGAAATGCGTACTGAAACTATGGAAGTGAGTGAGCTTGCCTGGGGCTTAAGAGTACAATGTTACAACAGTCAAGGGTCAGCTAAAAGGTTGTGACTGAGGAATGAGTTCACTCAAGGTTTTTGTTTTCGTAAAGGTGAAGAACACTAATATTCAAGGGACTAAAGAATCAGGGGAGGCACACAAGACAGACAGTAGCAGCCAAAGATAAAAGGAAAACCAGGATAAGTTGGTTCTCAAAATGGAACACAATCTGCTGGTGACACTTTTACAAAGAGTACACAGACATCATTACCTCTGATGTACTTAGTTCCAGCTTCCTGACACCACCGGAAGCTCTCCAGTAAATGGTTTCTACACCGTAAAAAGGGATTTGAGTGCACCTACGCTTTTTGCCAAAACTCAGACGTTATGTCCGTCCACATCTGAACACCTAGGACTCAATTCCTAACCTTCCTTATCTGGGCATGCTCAACCTCACCTCTCACCCCTTCAAGCCTTCTGTATCCACCTGTGCTCAGACTCCTCTAGGGCTCCTGTCCCCGCGCAATTAATTTCGCAACACTCCACAGCAGACTTCAGCTTACTAAAACTCCCATCAATCAGTGTTTGAATGTGTCTGGTCTCCTTAGCACGCCTGTGAGCACAAGGGTGGAGTTTTAGTAAAAGCTGTCACCGAGGCCATCTCAAACAGGCTTAAGCATCCGCCCTCCCATCCCAATGCCCTCGGGGACGGACCCCGAGGGTCCGATTTGTTCCAGGAGGTCCTGGATCTTATTTCAAAGGCTGGGTTGACCTCCTGTCCTGCCCTAGAAACGGATCAGTGGGCCGGACCGCTCACCTTTCTGGAGCCTCGGGTCCCACCCGGTCCGTACACCCAGCGCTCCAGCTCCTCCACTCGGGACTGTAGCCGCTGCACGTCCGTCAGAGCCGCCATCGCTCGGGCCGCAGCCTTCCGAAACTGTCAGAGGGTGGGACGTCCGCCCAAATAAGAAGACTGGTCAATCGGAGAGCGCCAGTGCGCTTTGCAGGAAGTGACGTCACTATTTAGTCTGGATGTCGGAAGTGACCACACCGACGGCAACGCTATCTAGTTACCTAGGTAACGATCTGAGTCTTGGCCCCATCCTGGTGTCCAAGCCTGGTTGTCAAAACTTTTAGTGTTCTAATTCCAGGATAGAGTCTTTTCCACCCCATTCCCTGAGAGTGCGCGTGTAAATACGCGTTTGAAAACCGACTATTCCAAGATAGGCTAATACCCATAGATCAGCAGCAGCTTCCTGAGGGACATATCATAAATTTTTGGAATCTTTTAAAGTTCAACTGAATTACACGTAAGCTTCCTGTTGTCAGGACTTACACTCAAACAGTCTGATTTGAGGCCCTGCTTTGTCTGGTGGTACCAGGAGAGAAAGGAGAGATAGGAGGATGATGCAAATTTGAGAACACAGCTGCCCTACACAGAGAATTCAAGACCAGTCAGGGAACAACATAGGGAGAGCTTGCTTCCCCCCCCCCCCAAAAAAAAGTGCTCTTCTATTTTCACAGAGGTTTGCTCTTCTGCCTTCCACTTGGACAGCTCAGTGTAGTCTGTGTAGCCCTCCCAGACCCAAGGCACAGAGGAGGCACAGGAAACGGAGGAAGCACAGCTTTATTTTCCAGATGCAACCCAAAGGACAGCTTCACATTCAAATTCAATCCTCCACCTGCCTCTGAGAAAGGAGAATTGACTCATAGAGGTAGAATACCAAAGATGACACTGTCACAGGGGTGGGTCACATGAGAGGGTGATAGGGGTTATTGAGGGAAGAGCTCTTTGGTAGATGCTGCTGGACTAGCTAGGGACTTGGTGTCCTCCTTTTACAGTGAGGTAGGTGGAACATAAGAAACCCCTTTGGTGTGGAGGCGGCATGCTGACATCTCCCAGGACTGGATCCTAGATTGGGCATCACATCCTCAAGGAATCAAGGTGGGACGGTACCTTTTCTCCCCTCAGCAACGATACTGGGACTCTTAGCTCTCAGCAGCTGCTTTCAGGGCAAGGTGTTGGAAGGGGGGCCTGTAGAGGGTGGGGGTGGGGGATTGGTTGGATACAAGGACGCTGGCACAGGCTGGCGACGAGCAAAGAGGATACCTAATAAAGGATGAAGAGATAGTAAAAATGCAAACACAAACAGGAGAATGTGAGACCCCAAACAAACAAACAAAGGGTGAACAAAAGTGGATTCTTAGAGAACTGCACACATCCCTGGCCACACACAACTGATGGCCATCCCCCTGGTTAGCGCCTTTGTCAATGCTGATACCCGTAAGTGGGTACACAATAAATACTGATGCTCACAGACCCATGACAAAGCAGATGTCTCACGGCGACCATGCTGCATGGACCACGCAGGTACCCCATGCCATGTAGAAATACTCTTTGACATGTTTTAGTGTAGCAATGCTCTAAGGCCCCATGCAAGATCAGCTACCCCTGATGCTCATGCTAGTAGAGAAAACCTAAAATCCCCATGCCAGTCTAAATCCCAACGTCATGCCAGTGTAGACAGCCTGTGGTACCCGTACCAGTGTAGACCACCCCATTGATCTCTAGCGCCATGTTGATACTGCTGATGCCACTGCCTGCCAGACGGAGGGGCCCATCCAATCGCTCTTCTGTCCAGAAGGAGGCAGGGAAGTCACATTTTGGAGTATCAGATTTCACACTTAGACTCCTCCCTTAGTCCTACAGCTAGCCTCCCATTTCACTTGAACCCCATACCATAATTATGTGGGTGTCTATAGAGGGATCTGTCTACCACCTCCAACGTCCGTCCGTCAGGTGAAGAGCCTGACACAAGTCCAAAGCCCTTCACTGGCAAGCCCTTCCTCACCCCTCAGGGGAGCCTTGCCACGGGGCAGGAAACTGGGGGGTGCCCTCAGCCGAGGGGGATCCAGGGGGCCCATCAGCACAGCCCTCTTCTCTGGAGGTTCTTCTGGTGCCAGCTTCTCCTGGGCAGCCTCCAAGGCAAAGCCCACAGGAAGCGCCAGACGCGGGGGTGGAATTCCGCTCTCCTCTGGGGAAAAAACAAAGCAACGACAAAACAGGCCACTCAGCTCCTTTGGTCTAACTAATACGTGTTTGCATTTGATTCTCCCCTAGGCCTGGAACCAAAAGAGGTCACTCAGACTGATAAACCAGGTTCAGTCTCTCCTCCCTTCCAGAGACTCTGGCTTAAAGATGTGGAGAAAAAAGGGCCAGCACATAGGTGTAGGCTGGTTTAGGTCAGAAAATGTGCAAGCTTACCTTGCTCTTTGTTGTTAAATAAGTCACAGGAGGAGCAAATTACATCCAAATGGGATCCCTTTGTGGACAGCAGTGAAATGAAGCTGCTTTGGGTGAAGGACCTTCTCCCGAACCTTAGACCCACAGGTCTCATGGCTTTCTTGACCTCAAAGCTCAGGACTACTTAGAGATTTCATAAGCCCTGAGCCCCATCAGATCGTGCTGCTCTCATATCGCATTGCCTTCCACGCCTGGGTCCCTACATTTTAATATTCCCTGTGCATAGATCTCAGAGACTTCATCCCCAAACTCCTCCCTCTCTCCTCGCACCTTTCTTTACAGGGTTTGGGCTCAGTTGAGCGCAAGCGTGAGCCGGCAAGCCAGAGGTGGAACCCTGGGCGGGACTTGGGCAGCTGGGGCTCGCGGCTGGGGCGGGGCCGTGACTCGAGGCGGGGCCGGGAGCGCCCCGAGGCGTGGGCCCGGCTAAGCTGAAGAGCGGGACCGTGGTGTAAGCCTGGCGACGGCCCTCACGCCGGTTGCTGTCTATGGCGGCCTGGAGCTCCCCTGGGGAACTGAGTGCCCGCGTCTCGCACTCGTACGGGTACAGATACTTCATGTACCTAAGGACAGACAGATCGGGGGGAGGAGGGTGGACCCAGCCCCTGCCCCGCCCCGTCCGTCACTCCCGCGCTCCACCCTGTCCCTCTGGCTCTGCCCCAGTGTCCGCGCCCTCTGCTGTCCTCACTGGGTGCGGAGGGTGAAGGCGGCAGAGGTGATGGTGGTGGGCAAGCTGAGGCCGCGTGTGACTTCTCGCCATACTTTTCGGTTGATGACCTCCACTAGGCCGCCCTTGGCTGTCACCAAGCGAAACAATGCATACAGGTCCAGCACCTGTTTCGCCATGATGGGCACCCGATTCACTGGCGTCCCTGGTGTGAAGTGGGTAGAAAGTCAGGACACTGAGATTAGGTCTCGTCCAAGGTCATCTCAGGGGACTAAAGGGTATCTTCATGAGGCTTAGGTAAGAACAGGACCACGAAAGGATTGCAGAGGAGGGGTGGGATTATAGGCAGAGACACTCCCCCATCCCTGCTTTGTAGCAGGAAGGACAGGAGACTAAGACAAGAAATCAGCTAAGTTTTCCTGTAAAGGGCCAGAAGGTAAATATTTAGACTTTGTGGCACAAAAGCTGCCTGTTCCAAATACCCAACTCTGCAATTGTATCTGAGAACAGCCTTAGCAAAGAGGGTGGGCATGACTGTGCTCCAGTGAAACTTTATTCACAGACCCTGAAATTACAGTCTCACAGCCTGTAAATGTTATGGCTGTTTCAACACTATTTTCCAAATGCGTAAAAATGGAAAACCATTCTAATCTACCAGAGAGCTGGATTCACCTGACAGCTTTACTTTGCTGACTGTAAGAAGGACTTCTGTTTGTGCTGAAGAGCCATACTCCCCCAAAGCAGCAGCCCCAAAGGCCGCAGGAAGCCAGGAGACAGCGGGTGCATAAGAATCTGATCCTGCCCGGGCCAGCCAACTCCTCAAACCTAGCCACCCCCGCCAGCCAGTCCTGACAAAGGGGCCTGTCTGAGCTGAGCGATGGGCCCCAGTTAATTCCTTACCGATCCCAGCCCCTTCCACCGGTGCCTTTGGACCCGAACAATTAGCTGCGGCCTGATTAATGGGGGGAAATTATCGGCCCCGTGAGACCTCCTCCCCCTGCAGCTGAGTAGAGGGAGGCAGAGCTCGGGTGTGGGCAAGGCTGTCAGGCCACCCTACCCCATCACCAGGAGAGAGAAGGTCCTCAGGAAGGCGAAGCGTAGGGACACTAGTACTACCATGGCCAGGTCTCCTTGGGGAACAAGAAAGCCTGGGGTCCTCACCCAGGGCTCTTGGAAAGGATGGGACCAGAAAAGGTTGCTGAGTTGAGGCTGGGGCCTGTATTGGGAGGGGAGCAGTGCAGCCAGTTAATTAGCAGCTTATCAGCCTGCACTCGGAGTGAGTTAATTAGCTTTGTAGAGAGAGATAATGAGTCAGTGTGCAGTCCCATGAATCTGGGGAGAAGCAGAAGTGATGGACTGCTGCCCACCGTCATTCCTCCTCGACCCCTTCTGCATGCTTTCAACACTGAGATTTTCTTGAGAGGAATTCCTTCTCCAAGACCCAACTCACATGGCCACAGCCCATCATTTGGGAAAGCTTTCCTTCAGTCGAATCCTATTCCTTCCTGCTGCAGGACAGGGAGGGAGTGCCCTGGGCTAACGCAAAAGGAAATGAAGGAGCGACAGGGCTGGAGGAAGGGCACCTGGTATACCACCAAGGCATCTCTGTTGGCCCTAAGTCCTGGGGCCCTCCTGTCTCGGGCCAGTCCTGACCAGCTCTCACTCCCACCCTCCCAATTGATCTCACACTCATTAACCTGCCCATGGGTTGGTCACTAATTAATCCCTGGTGGAGAAGGGGGGGAAGGGTCAGAGGTTAAAGATGCTATTGAGGGCCGAAAGGACAAGGTGCCACCTCAGGCCTCTGCAGGGAGGACCTCACCTGGGGACTATGCCCTGAGGTTTTCCTTCCTCAAACCCAGTCAATAGGAGAAATATCTGGATATGTCCCCACATCATTTTACTCACCCCTCTTCTGCATGAAGCTAAACAGGTCATCCAGAAATTCCTTTCTCTTGGGGTCCGCATCGAGTTCATACAGCTGGGGAAGGACCAAGGTCATTCTCCAGCCCCACTGGCCCCCTAACCCCTGGAGCCCCAATTCAGGTGATACTCTGGACACAAGTATTTGGTGAAAGGATGAATGGAGTCTGATGTGAATTCTCTGGCACCAGACCCACCCCCAGGAGCAGGCAGGGTGCCTTGACCTAATATATTCAAGAGGTGTATCCTAGCTAGTGAGTGGTACCCTAGGCAGCGCAAACCTTGCAGTCGGCAAATATGAGGAAAAAAGTGAGGAAGCAGGAAGGTACTTGAGTGGCTCAGCCTGCTGTCAGGACAGTCTTGGCCATCCTGAGGAGAGAAGCCAGGCTGGGGCTGTGCTCCACTCTTAGGAGACAATGGGTGTCTGAGACACTTATTCATTCCCTTTAACTTGTATAAGGGCTTTATGCAGTTCATATCCTTTGGGGCTAACTAAGGTTAGTTCAAGCAGGAAGGATCCTGGGGAACTCCTTATAGGCGCCATCTTGTCTAATCTCCTCCCAGAGGTGGTTACAGTGTCTATAATCACACAAGCGCTGGCCACACGACACACAGGAGCTGAGACGTCAGAACATGAGGACTCTATTGGTCATCCCCCCTCCAACATCACCTCCTAAATCTAAAACGAACAGTTCCAGAGTAATGGAGTCCAGAGTAACAGTTTCCCAGCCTCAGCTTGCTATGAGTCACACATGTAAGTAACACTCCAGCCCTCAATAATAACCTTGTAAAATCCTCCCATGATTGTCAAACCCCAGAGGCTCACACACATGAAGCCACACACACATGACCCAGAACTCTAAGTCTCACACCATTGTAGGTACATGTTCTCAGTCGTAAGCCCAGAACAGTGCCCTGGGGAAACAGCCACTAGAGTGTCACATTCCTGGTCTTACACCGACAGGACACTAGCTACAGATTAGCACTTCTAGAAAATACCCCCAAACTAACACCCTATGAATAACACCACTAGAATGGCACAGCTGGAAATAAAAGCCCTGAGTAACACCATGGTGACAGCCTGGCCTACTGTCCCTAGTCTGGAAGGGTTCAGATTAAGGTCATGTACATAAAGATTTGTGCCCAGTTTGCATGGTGGGGGCTTCAGTAACACTGCAGCTGAGGTGGCCAGCAAGGCTGGGGACTGACACCCCTGGAATTTAGGTCAGGAGGAGAACTAGATGGTAGAGTGTGTGGCAGGAACGAGGATGGGTGCCCATTTGCAGAAGCAGCAGCAACCTCTATTCTCCTTCCAAAGACTGTAGACACACTGAGACAGTCCCTTTGGTGCTTGTAACTTATGTGAGAGGATAGATGGGGTAGTGTTGCCATGGATTCCTCAGACTCCAGATCCCTTTCCCTCAATACCCTTACACCTATCCTATCCCCTTTCAAACTCACCAAGGGCCTCCATTCAGTTACCACGTTTCTGGGATCTCCTATACCTCCTAATAAATTCCTGTGTACTCCCTACATTTGTGGGTGTCTTTCCTGACCCATCTCTATCCAGCCACCTTTCTCTCTCTAGGCCTCTGTTTTTACATCCTGCAGAGGGTGGTAGGGATTTCTCCCTTTGCCAGAGGGAGAAAGGCAGCCTGGCAGTGGGGGAAGAGGTCCTACCTGCTTGAACTGCTCCTCATAGGTCCACTCATGTGCTTGAGTTCCAGGGGGCTGGCTGGAAGATGCGTTGGGACATCGGGTTCCTGGATGTCTCTCCTCAGCCGCCTCCTCTTCTGCCAAGGGTGCCACTCCCTCCTCATCTTCTTCAGCCTCCTCCTCTTCTTCAGCCCCAATCACCCCCAAGGCCCCCTCAGGAGCCTGTAGGGTCCGGGTGTCAAGCAGAGGAGGCTGTGGAAGCGGTAGTCGAGGAGGGGCCGAGGGCCCCACCCCTTGGGCCAGCCTTGCTGCCTGCTGCCTCTGCAGGGCCTCCATTACAGCTTCCAGGCGCAGTCCCCCTGCTGGGGGGGCTCCTGGTACCAGGCGGGGCCCTGAGGAGAGGGCCGTCTGTGGGGGAGGGAATTATGGGTGCTGGGCCTTGCTGTACCCACACCCTACAACACGGGGAGATGCGCATGGATTCAGAGACATACATGGAGTTACAAGGAAAGGACAAATGGATCGTGTGAACAGAGACAGAGGGAGAGAAGAAGCGAAAGAGACAGAGACCAGACATGGGGTGTGTGTGTCAGAAATGGCCAGGAACTGAGGCCAGAGAGAGGGCAAGAAAATTGGAAAGAGTACCAGAAAGCAAGGAGGAATGGTGCAGGGAGATGTGACACACACACACACACACACACACACACACACACACACACACACACA